AATTTAATTTCTTTTAATCACAATATTGTACCTTCAAATTTCTTCCTACCTATAATAATACGATTAAAATACAAAATAATTATTACGGATATATGAAGTAACTATAAAAACATATAATGGCAATAACAAGAAATTACTATAATATATATAAATAAATACATTTCAAAGTTGTTTCCAAGCAATCAACACATGTATGAAGATTGAAGATGCATCATATTCCATTAAACTTGATAGAAAGCAACAAAAATTAAACTAATATTTAAACCCAAAAAAGCAAATAACACCCCACTCGTTAGTTGATACTTTTTTTTAAGAAAGATTAAACTTCTTATTATCTGCCTATTAATTCGTCAAGTAATACTGTAATACCCAATACTTTGATTCAAACTCATTACGCTAAATCGACAAATTGCATTATATAACAATATCTTATATACCTCTTTCTTTTTATCTTGGAACTTAATACAAAAACAAGAGGGTTAATGTATACAGTATACACCCTTTCAATTATACACAAAAAATGAAGATTGCTCATATTTCTAGTATTTAAAATATTTGGTTAAATTGCATAAAATAGCAGGATACTTCATTTTTCTTACCATTATAAACAATGAAATTTATTTTTATTCATAATATTGTAGGGTTTTTCTAACATGATCATACCAAATCAAATGCAATTGATATATTAACAACATGGATTTCATATAACCAAGAAGAACCCTAAACTTGATCAATCACAAATAACATGTTAAACATATGCACAACCATAGAGCCTTTACAAGATCATACCACACGATGCTAATTTTATTGTAAAAATGGTTAAAATTCCATGAACGTGAAGGGACCAAAACCGCTCCCGTCTATCATGATCCATACTAGAGCAAGGTTATCATGATGATGCAATTAAGATCTCACTCAAGGGTAATGGGGTCAAGTCAAAGCCACATATCTTAACTCAAATCTTGAAAGGTCATCTATAACTTTAAAATCATAGATCTAATACGATAAATCTTTCAAATAAAATAATAACTTCTAGTCCTTATTTCCCATGTTATAGAATTTAGCAACGCATGATGTAAACTATCGAGCAGACTTAGCTTTATACACAAACCACTATAAATTTCCGTATTCATTATGCAATTTATTCATCCCAATTTTATTCATTAATTGTGTCATTATTTTGTGGGAAATTAAATTGCATCAAATTTTAACTACTGGAATACCCCCACCCTACATATAAGTCTCACCATAAAATGGTTAGAAAAAGCTAAACATGTTAACCAAACCAGTTAGGATATGTAAACATAAAGATGATACTAATTATCTAATTTAAATCTATTTGACGCGAAAATTGATACTCAAATATTATAAACACACTTGCATAGAACTACATTTGACGTTATCTATTTTTTTTGGGGGGAAGTTCATGATTACAAATTGTTGTAGATTAAATCAGAGTTATTGGATCGTTAACAAATCATATAGAACACTTTACTTGAAAAATATTTGTTCTATATGCTTGGGATCTACAAATATTTTATCAGGGTAATATGCTAACAAAACAAACCACTTCAAATCATAGGCACAAAGATAGGAAGCAACACCATATTTGTATTAGCCACAAAGATAGGAAGCAAAACCAGATTTTTATTGTGAGATGTGTAGAGTTCATTCATTTAAAAAAACTTAAGTATATCTCCTATTTATACTCACAAATGGATAATGATGATAAAATATGGTTTTGGGAAATTACCAATAGTTATCATGAAGTTATAAGTTATAACTGTTAATAAAATTATCATAGTAACATGTCCACGGATTCTCAAGAGCAAGCACTGCTTGATCGCAAGACCAGAGGATCGATTATCATAATCCCAATAACCATAACTTCACTCTTTGACCCCATAACTTCAGACCTTGCACTGTCGTTTTGAATTCAATATCATAGCTTCAAAGTAGACAAGTCGGCAACTCTTTACCTTAATGAAATTTCCAACATTAACACTAATTAACTTGCCACTTCTAAACATGTTTTTCCATTGTGTTATGACTTCAAAGTTCTATAGAGGTTTTGGAGCTTTGTCCCTTTGAACCCCATATTTGTTATGTTCAGGATCAAACTTGTATTATGAAGTATGCATCATGTACCACCTGACTTGTATTAGATCATAGCTTTGATCCCTATTAAAAGTAATATAAGATCTAATTACACTTAAATGACACGTAATCTAAAATCACTAACAAAAATTTTTAAACTGGCATGACTTCTCCTACTTATAATGGTGTATGATTGTTGGGTAATCCAATTTCCCCTCAAATTAATGATGAATAATATGCTTACATTCCTGTTTTAAATTTGACCTACTTTACATTTGGCTTTTGACTTGCACATTGAGTATGTTTACCTTATAATGGTTACACACCATTAGTGTTGTTAAACAAGTACTCCAAGTGTTTGATTAATAGCCCAAATGAAACGTCTTGTCTTTATATCGGAATTATATTTGTTTTATGTTTCCTTTATATAATTCGTTGACTAAGATAACTCTTTGGGCATGTTAAATTTATCTATAGGAAGGACAATCACACATTATTTTCTAAGCATGTTGATCCTGATGAGGTAGTTTATTTGGAAAGTCATTGGTTATGTATAATCAAGGATCATTTCATGTAATTCCTATTTAACATTTGTGGTATGAGGTCTATAATAGAAACAGACTTGTATTGTTTCTTGGTAATAGCAATTTGAACAAATAAATGTGGCAAAACATTCCTTATGTGTGGCAAATGAATAGAAGAAGTGTGGTAAAAGTAAGGTGGTGCTGACATGACGTGTAAAAAAGAGTGACGAATATGACACTACTCCCTTCAGTCTACAGGTTCACTATTATTGAGTTTCATAAAGGACACGAAGCAAGAAACTATACCATGATCACATGGAAGGTTATGTGGGAAAAAGAAAGTTCAGAAATTGTAGCAAATAAGGCGAAATAGAGCAAAATGAATACTTCTACGTGTGAATAAGGTTTATACACATGTCAAGATTGTGAACTATAATCACATGTAGAAATTTCAAGAACATCGTCATTGCCACATACAATAAGCAAATATTAGAGCAAAAAGTAACAAAATGTTCCAAGAAAAGAGAATATTTAAACATGTGGAGGAAAAAAAGAAGTATGTCATGTCAAGACCAAACTTAAAAATTCAAAAATGTTAGGCCATGAAAAAAAAACTACCTTTATTTTTAAGGTTTTCCTGGATTTCATGTGCATGGTTTATATATTTTTGTTTTTAGAACAATTGCATCGTTTATGTAGTACCAATGTTAGTTTAAGCTTATTACAATTAAGCTTAAATAATTAAAAGATGCATCATGTATAGTTTTATTTTGTTTAAAGTTAGGACATCAAAAAAGCTAAACAAAGAAAACTTACATGAAATATTTATATCGATTATTAAAATAGAACTCATCAATCTATCGATCTTTTGTATGTTTGAATTTTAACATATTTGTCTTCAAAATTAACCACAATTAAAAAATAAAAATAAAATAACAAAATAACGAATATATTTTTGACAAACACTAATTATTTTGTATTCATGTGTAAAATAAAACAAGAAGACGAGTTGAATAATATCTTTAAACTAAACTAAAACCTCAAATATACTTTAATAAATCATAATTCAGGGCTAAATTATATTATTGACATATTGTTTAGGGATTGAGTTTGTTGCCAGTTGGAAAGTTAGGCCTTAATATGGTACAACATATTGCTTAGGGACTGATTGGACTATAAATCCATAGTTCAGGGTTAAATTAAGCAATTTACCGCAATATAATATGCATAGGGGAAAATATCTCTTTTTTCAATGGGACTACACACTTTTTTATCAAGTGGGGTGTGCCTTCGGCCAGATATTTTAGGCCCTGCCCGAAATACTGCCCGTCCATTCTCCATCACTTCTTTATCGTAAGAGCAGTAACGCCGAACGTTCAGCTACCTGCCCGTTAGCTTTGTATTTTTGTTTTTTCGGTTTTATTATTTACTATTTTGTAATAACTTAATATATATTTAGTGGAGGAAATAAAAACAGTTAATTTGAATTAGATTTTAATTTTGATAAAAAAAAAAGTAAAATGACAATATTTAGCTTAAAAAGAAAATAAGATAAGGGTAAAGCGACATAAAATCTATGGGAGTGTATTTTGTAAAATATAACCTCCTAAACTACTTGTACAAAAAAACATGAACTATAATTCTAATAATACTCTTTTTTTTTTGGAAAGAATGGTTTTTACTAACACCACAATTAATTTCTTGAACGGTACATATTAGTCATTTATATGGTACGGATCAAGTTAGCCTTAGTAATTTGTTATTCACACTTTAAAGTTTCTTATAAATAATAAATGCACCAAATTTGTTACAAACTATATTACTCTAATTAACCATTTGAGTAGTGGACCACCGCTGAAACATTCGGGGATGTGGATAGTATCCCATCTACCCTAGTTCGAATCGAGTTGTTGTCCACTACTCAAATGGTTAATTACAGTAATATAGTTTGTAACAAATTTGGTGCATTTATTATTTATTTGTAAAGAACTTTAAATTATAACAAATTACTAAGACTGACTTGTTCCGTACCATACAAAAAACTAATCTATTTTGTTTTGCTATTTTAGCGATTTATTTTGTCAATTTTTAAGTTATGAGTTGGGAGTCTTAATTAGATAGTTTTGTTTCTAATGCATTTAAATAATGGTTAGATGCTCTTTTATGCAACAATATGTATGTTGAGTTGTGGAGTCTTTTATATAATAGTGGTTTTGTTGAGGTGTGGCAAGACCGCACCTTTAGTGCTCGAGTAAAAGGTATGTGGTGCTTGAGCCAATGTATATAAGGTCTAAATTTTATTCCCTTGAAGACTAACACATTTATTCGATCTAATTATGGTCTTCTAACCCGAAATCAAAAACATTCTGAAACTGGATGTTACATGGGGGTAACAGTGTTGGCATCAACCTCGATGACAAATTGGTTTGAAGTAGGTAGGAAGGAGTCCAAATAAATAGTATCAATAACCTCAAGTTTGGTATTCTCCTTTGAAGAATGATTTGCCTCAACAAGAGTGCTAACGGTTGGCATAGCTCCCAAAATATTGGGTTTAGTTTTCCCAGAACCAAATCCTAAGCCAAATAACTTCTGGCGAAAAGAAAGCCTTGCAACATCAACATGAAGGTTGGGAACACTGATAGAGGGACGAGCGATTGTACAAACCAACATAGCATCAGATTGAATAAGTGCTACCTCTCCCGACCCTTCAGGAGGAACAACCGGAATGGAAGGCTCGACAACTGCATTGCTAGTATCAGCCATGATGGGGTCAGAATGAATAGGGCGCTCATGTAGCCTAGTGGTTTTGCCCACATCTGTAGAAATCATAGGAGGGGCTACATATGTGTTTTTTTGGGGCCGCAGAGTTCTTCAACGCTTGATGGGAAAAACATTCACCAAATCGTCTAAATAATCTAGCACCGCCTCCAAATATAAAGTCTTTTCAACCCCGAAATCAACCGCCACAACATCATCACAATGACTTGTGTCTTTCCTCTTGTATGAGACCTGTGTTATGTGTTATGACAGGCTGCTTGGAAGAAAAGGCAGGAGGTTTGCTACGCTCAGTCTTTATTACCCTTATCTAATCCTTAGAAGGTGCAGTTAAAGAAGGAATACCAATTTCAATAGAAATGGGTGAGTTTATACTGGACTCAGGTTCGGGATTGGCATCACCTTTCGAAGAGCCAATGATTTAATAAAAGGGCCCTCAGATGATTTTTAAGTTCCGATGAGGCGTCTGTGATGTAACTGATCTAAAAGAGTCGGAGACTTACCTTGAAGAGTGGGATCATCTGTTTTCTCTTCCTTAGCCCAAGCGTTTTCCAGCCCGACCATCTCAAGCACCCCCTCGTCGGGATCAGACCATTTCATGTAATTTACAGATAACCTATTAACAACAATCTTTTCTTTAGGGCTGAGTTCAGGATCAGATTCGGACTGTTTATAGTCAAGATTACCCAACTTCATAGGACTTGGAAAGGCAGACGCATCCACGAGAAAGAATTCATACTTACATTTCTTAATAGATGTAGACAACCCATCATAAATATCGATTTGGTCATTCTAAAGAGAAAATTATATCTAGTCATGGCTCACCATGGTCACATAGAAATGAGGAAGCAAAGTAAGAACTGTGACAACCCGAAATTTCTATCTTGTGAAGTCAGACTTGTATATGTTACCTTTTTGCCGTGCTAAGGGTTATTCTGTGAGTTTTTAAGCCTCGTACACTTAGGACTTAATGCTATGAAGTGTGAGTAATGAATATATATGACTTTCAAATTGAGCCAAGAACATTCATCAATGGTGTTCACGGCCCAAACTAGGGTTCACGGCCGTGAACCCATGTTAGTTGTGAACCCCTCATCATAAGTATAGATTTCCTTCATTATTCCTTCATTTCTCACTTCTTTCATCCAAGAACACTCAAACTCTCTCAAGTATCATCAAGGGAATCCATCCTTTCTCTTCAAAAACGTAAGTGATTCATCCATTTTACTAGTTAATCTTCTTGATCATATGAATCCTATGAATCACATCCTTGAATTCATCACTTTTCCTTCAAGATCTTCAAGTCTTCATCTTTTCACCAAGAACACACACTTGTTCTTGGGGCCGTGAACACCTTCAAGACTTCCATTAAGTAAGTATCATTTCCATACACTTGTTATACATTAGAAGCTCTTGAATCCAACCATGAAACAACCACATTGTGCAAGATCTTCAAGAGTTCACGGTCGTGAACCCTTCATAGGATCTTGACATGGTCGTGAACCCTCCTTCCTTGGCCGTAAACCCCCTTCAAAGGATCAAGCCTTGGGCAGTAAACACTTCATGTGTGGCCGTAAACTCTCCTCGGCCGTGAACACATCTTAGTGTGGCCGTGAATTCCTTTCATACAATCATATGTGATTGTAACACTTCATTCCAAGTGTTTCCTAGTACCTAAGGTTGTTGCCTTACATGATTAGTTGTTATATACACTAATTGTATGCCAATATATGTTATTATATGTCTAATAGGATCCAATTGTGCTCGGGACTTCATTTGTGATCTCAAGCATCCTATATCTATCTTTCATTAGAATCACTCACTACACGTGAGTTCATACCCCTAAACTTATATTTTAATGATTTTAAATGCTTTTATGGGGGGGGCGTAATACAAGTAGAAAACAATATAGTTGTATGATTAATCACATGTGATTTATAACTATCAAAACAAGAGATTTCTTATACTTCAAAACTGTGTTACCAAACAAATTGTTTCAAATCCTTTTATAAACTGACATTAAGTCATCAATAATCATTCAAATGGTTAAAACTCTTTTTATATGATAAACTCTTTAAATGTTTTACAAAACTCTTTTAAACTTATATATTGTCAAAATCATGTCTATATAGATATAGTTATATAAACAAGGTTTAAAGGGCTTAGGACTGATAATTCGCTTTATTTTCTTTTTCCTTGTTTGGATGTGGACTTAGGGTATCGGTTGTTTGTCCGAATGTCGTTTAAATCTTAGTTATATATTATGTATATGTATGTAGATATAAAAGTACCTCCAATCAGTTCAATACCTTTGGGTAGCAAAGCTGTACAAACATGATCAGTCATTCAATTACAGAGCTTACTAGTAAACTATAATAGGTATAGTTTATGAAGTTACTACTTACTATTTCTAGAGCAATGAAACTTACATGAATTAGTACTTACAGGAGTTAGTTATTACATGAGTCAGTTCAAACATACAATAACTAGAACAGAGAGGAACATACAATAACAATAACAGAGAGGAACATACAATAACAAGAACAGAAAGGAACATACAATAACAAGAACAGAAAAGAACATACATCCTTTTACAAGAACAAGATAACATTAATGTGAAACCACTACTTCACGGCATAGCAATATACTTGTTAGGTCGCGTTTTGTAACCAAAGTCTCCTGGAGGGAGAGCGGGCATTGTGTGTATAGATCTATACAGGACTGACAATCCCGCATCCCGACTGTTCGCTACAGTTTGGTCGGTAGGCCAAGGGGTGACAAATGGCACATCAGTTTCGACGCCAGCAGGTCATCGTGTTAAACACTCGTCATCAGTATGGTTATAACCACATCACATTTTAACCTTAATTAAACAAATTGGTTTTAAGGTAGTTAGTGCTTCACTAGTTACTTATTACAACATTATTGTACACTGTCATTTTCCCATTACATTCATATAGTAATCTTCTCACATAAAAGGTAATGTAAACTATTTTCTGGTAATAATAGTCATATACTTGGGAAAACACTCACTTTTACAAAAGAACAAACATACAGAACAATCAGGTCTTGGTAGAAGACTACTTTCCATTTTTAGTAGAAAATATAGGATTTTCTAGGAAGTACACAAACATTTACATCAAAACACTTACAAACATCTTCTTTAAACTTATACAAACATTTGACACTAAAATACTTATGAACTCACCAGCTTAAATGCTGATCTACGCTTTCAAAATAACTTGTATTCTCAGGTCACCAGTAGACATGTACACTGGACCAGGTTTTGAGAAGACGGAGCATGTTCAAGACTCGTCTTTTATTTTGATATATATATATATATATATATATATATATATATATATTTGGTGTCTTACAAATATACATTTAGAACACACTTGTATCAAATTATATTATTAATGCAATGGATGATGTTGTTGCTTGTTTTACTATTATGCATTGTTATGATACTGTACATGACGTCCTCCGCCCCCGAACGTTTCCGCCGTTCTGGTTTGGGGGTGTGACAAATTGGTATCAGAGCTTTGTTTATAGTGAATTGAGTATATCAACCCATAAAAGATATAGAACTATAAACACAACGGGATTAAAACACTCTGACCAAGAGTTAATACTTTTAAAATAATAAAATATTTTAGTAAAGTATTCATACAAGCATTCATACTAGGATCAGTGTCATACTAGAACAAAACAAAAGTATTGCGGTTGTTGGACAACATAATTAGGCTTGGGGACATATAATCAGATCTGGGAGTGATATAGCCTGATCAACTATATCTTTTCGAGAAGTGATTAGAATGTGCCTAGGAATGGTTGTGGTGTTGCAGCAAGTCTAAAAACTTACCAACACTACTACAATGAAAACGTTAGAACATAACATAAACTTAAAAATACTATAGGAGTATTTTGTGTTACTATAATTACTTATGTGAAAACTAAAAGGTCTTTACTAGTATGTCAATAGTTGTTGAGTGGATACGCTAAGGTTATATGTGACTAAGGTGTCATAGACTTAGAATCTGTGATCTTTGCTTTACTTCCTGTTTCTTGTTTGGTTGTGGACTTAGAGTTAGGGTCACTTATTCGAAGGTCTATTCTATCTTGGTTACTTATGATTGGTATGCACTACGCCAATATTGGAGTAACTAGTGAGGATCATCTTATAATTATCTTAAGTAGTACGTCTATTATATGTTTCTTACATCCCTTTTCTCGCTTAGATAACATGGCTGGATTTCATCTCCCTGGCGACCCGTACTTTCCCAACCAAGGGAATGGTGGATGGCTTGATGCAGAGCCAGAAGAGAATCATGAAATCCCCTTAGACGATGATTTTGTAGAAAATTTTCCAGAGGATTTTGACTCCGAGCCAGAAGTCAATGATCTACCCTTGGTGGTTCCAATCCCAAATCCTAACCCTCGTCCGGCTTTTCAAGGCCCGATGCCTTTGTGGGCTGAGAACTTGGGTAGGTGGAGCCGTGAGCAGGGTCAACCCTTACCATACAAAGGAGACCGAAGCTTCTACAACATAAGTGAGGGAGGCTCTACAGACAGAATTCTTCCCATCTTGGTTCGCCGAGTGGCTCGAAATGTTGAGTTGGAATGACAGCCATTCAAGAAACCGTGGAGCTTGACGCAGACACAAACACCAATACAGATCATATTCGCAACCTTGAAGTTGCTCATGGGAGAGCTATGAGCGACAATGAGGCTCTACAGCAAGAGCTAGCTGCAACTCGAGCTGAAGTCATAGAGCTCCGACACGCCAAACAGTGTATGAGAGACACCTGCTTAATGTGGAGCGTCAGCTGGCCGAATTAAGGGTTCATCCGAGGGGTGCCCGTCGCCAGTAGGAGATGCTCTACTCATCCCTTATTTTGGTTTAAGGAATAGCCTTCTTATCTATGCTCTAAGTAGCACTTTTCCCTGTAAATTTCCTGTTTATGTTAAGACCTTGAACTTTCAGTCTGTTAGGTCTTAGCGCTGTCAAAATTTTCTAAATTCTGATGTGATGTAAGACCTACTCCAAGGTCATTTTTCCCGAACTTGTTACATCTTTCATGCCAATGTTATTCACAGACATCTAACCTCAAGGGAAAACCACGTGTGTCCATACGATGTGTTAGAGTGCCTTTTTCGTCATAGTAATAACTAATAAAACTAATGCAACCTAGTGAATTAGTGATTACATTACTCGCATTAGGTTTTAAGCTTATCGTCTTTTCTGTCACGACTAACAACAATAAATCGGATCACGAAATCTCAATTGAGAGTGATTATTTCTCAAATTCATAAGTCTATTTTATGTAGACTCTATTATGAGCTACTTTCAAATCTTTTCGAAAGTTGGAACATGATATCCTCCAACCAAAGATAACTTAGTTCGGATGACACCCGCCTTGTGACCATTCTAGAAGCTTACTTCTACTCCTTACCAAGACTGCATCATAGGGATGTAGGTCGAATCATCAAGAACAGTATAACGAAACGAAAAAGTTACATTCACATAAATGATTAGGATACATCTAGAGCCAACCATAAACGCTCACGAACTCATTTTCTTATCATATAACAAAATCATGCCTCCGAAGGAACGAAACCAACTCGCTAGCAAAACACCAATCCTTCAGATAGATACGGCTACTTTTCAAGATGCGGTCACAGCTGTCGTAACA